AATAGTGAGACCAATCATCACTTACGGGGATATATCTTGGAGTAACAGAACTAGCTTAGCTACTACGAGAGCTAATATCTCAAAAGTACAAAGATTAACCTGTATTTGCGTTACTGGTGCAATAAGAACCTGTCCTACGGCCGCAACGGAGATGATCTTAAACCTTAACCCTCTACATTTGATGACAGAGAATGTGGCAAAAAGGACACGATATAGATAATCAGGACCGGGGTAATCAGACGAATGTCTACTTGCTTCAGGTCTAAAGATACCTGGGACATGCCCGAGGATGAAATGCTAAAGAAGTACAGTTTTGTGAAAAACTTCAAAACCACAGAGCTGGGCTGCAAGAAAGAATGGAGCCAAGAATCCATCGCGCTTGCAACCGAAAGACGTGCTATTCAGTGGTATACGAACGGTTCGAAAACCATAGAAGGAACTAGAATAGGAGTGTATAAGCCGAGACTCAGGCACTCCAAAAGCTTGGGAAAATACCCAAGCATCTTCCAGGCAAAAATTCACGCTATCTAGAAGTGTATCTAGTTCAACCTCGAGAAAAAACTATCATAGATAAGAGATTATCATCATGTCCGATAGCAGCCATCAAAGTGTTGAGCTCTTACGTAATCAGCTCAAAAATGGTCTGAAGATGCCTAGAACAATTGAATGAGCTAGGCGAGAAAAATAGAGTTACTCTCACTTGGGTCCCAGGACATAACGGGGTACAGGAGTAACGAGATTGCAGATAGTCTTGCAAGGGAAGGGGCTCAGACACCCTTTGTAGGACCTGAGCCGTTCTGCGATATCAGATTAAAAAAGAATTGGGCAGTAGAAAAACCGATAATTGGAACAATCTCTTAGGGCTGAGACAGGCCAATATACTTCTGGATGAATATAATCAGAAAAGATCGGAAGTCTGCATCTGCCTGAGCTAGAACAGGCTACATATTGTAACAGGGATCCTTACCGGCCATTGCCGACTAAAAGGACACCTAAGTAAACTGAGAGTAGTAGATGATAGTGAGTGCAGATTCTGTAAGGAGAAGGACGAAATCTCCATTCACATCCTTACTGAATGTGTAGCACTCCAGAATCCAAGGGCACTATATCTAGGAGGATATCAAATATAGAAGAGGGAGATTTACCTAACTTGAAGCCACTTCAAATCCTATACTTCCTTGAGAAAATAGGATTGGAACATAACATAACATTACTAATGTGGTTTTCCTGCTGGCAAATCCAAGCCAATACTAATTAATCTAACCAAGTTACATTTACCAAAAAAAGAAATACATATCCTCAAGTTACCATCAATACAGCTACAATTCCAATTACGATTACAGTTAAATACCTCGGAGTTCATCTAGATCAAAAACCGAGATGCAAAAAACACATCAGAAGTAAAAAAATAATAAAGGATGTATTTTCTCTATATATTTACTAGAAGAAACGAGGGTTCACCATTTTCTTTCGCGTTTAAAGTATTCCACTAAATATATCAAAACAAATCTTTTACCAGGCTCAAATTAAGACAAATGTACTGGTTGGTACTAGAGAAAGGCGAAACATTATTGGCCTGACAATGAACGACTGCGATTTTTATTTAAAAAATAATTAAATTTTTTTACATATTCTCCCTTGACTTCAATACATTTGGTCCAGCGTTTCTCCAATATCAGTATTCCTTCCCGAAAGTAAGAGTAAGGAAAGGTTTGAAAATATTCCTCTATGGCTTGCTCTCTCAACTTCTTCCCTAAATTTAAAACGCTTCTCAGAAACATTTTATTAAACTTTTGAAATAAATGGAAGCTTGAGCGTACCAAATTAGATGAATAAGGCGGATGGCTAAGCAAATCGTACCCTAAAACCAACAGTTTTCCCATCGCCAATGCATCCTTGTGTTCAGGTGTGTTGGCCTGGTGAAAGATAATTTTTTTCGTCTACAAGCCAGGTATCCTGTTGGTCAAAAAGGTTGAAGGAATATTACCCTGTAATTGTACTGCTTTAGGGTCACATGGGGATGTAGCAAACCATCCAATATGAAAATATTACAAATATTTCAAGCAAAAATGTTACGTTTTTTAGCAGATTCGCCCTTCACACCATTTACACTAAATTCAGAATTATTTATATGAATGAAGTGATCAGAATACAACCTAACAAAGCAAAAGATCGTTCAGCTTGGCACAATTCTTAAATAATCAGTGAAAAGTCACTCAAGTAAACAGAAGATTAAAGAGAAACTGGCCAGATGATCTAGTTTGGCGAACTGTCACTGGATAGTGCCTAACTACTACAGTATTAAGGATACTAATTGGACGATAGTTAGATTAGATTTAATTAGGACTGAAAGCCATGTGGCCTTATCCACTTCCACCTTTTCAGATCTATTGTGGATATCCTTTAATCGCTGCTTAGAGTATCTTGTCCAATTCGGTCTTTTGTAGTAGATTCCATGGACTGGGAAGTAGTTTTTTAGTATAGCTAGTTGCCATTGGTTCTTCTCAAAGTGTAAGGAATCTCAGTCTTGCTAGACCTTCACAGTAGCACAATACATGTCCTTCTTGACAGAATCGGCACAAGGTCTCTTCTGTCAAAATGATATTATACATATGGCCTGTCTCTGTCCTGGTGAGTTTTTCCACCACTCCTGAGATTTTTTAAACATCCACTGCTTTGTGCATGTTCTGATAGATGTTTTTGTTACACCACAAAAGGGTTTTGGGCCAATAAGAGCATATAAGGCTACTACTTAAATCGGGCACGGTGGTGTAGCGGTCTATCGCGCTTATATTCATTTATAGGCAAGTTTATGAGTCTGAGACTGCTGGGTTTCGAATCCCAGACCAGACCATGTGGATTTTTAATTAAATTGCATGGTTCGGTTTAGGATTTGATGTATGGCGTATTAATAGAAATTCAATTTCTGTTGATATGACATGCAGATTAAAAAAATTCGCCATACATTACCGTCTCGATGATGGTGGGTGAGGTTTTCCGGGTTTTCCTCACCTGTAAGTCAAATGGCACCATCAATCATCTTTAAGTCGCCCCGGAGCGCCACGGCAAATAATAATAATAGCCGTCCCTTTCCCCGGACAAGCTCAGCTTTTGGGGTTAAAATTCACTCGTAAGGGGGTGAATTAGGGAGAGTATTATTATTATTATTATTATTACTTCTCGGGCTAGTAAATCAGCCTGTTCATTGCCTTTATGTCCTCTGTGGCCTAGGATACAGGTTAAAGTTGGTCTGTTTTGACTACAAAGCTCTGTTAGAGCTTCCAAACAGTCACACACAAGCTTTAAGTGTACCTTCATGGAACTATGTGCTTTCAACGTTGCTTGACTGTCTGGGCATATGACAATGGTTTTTCGATTTACCTTGTTTTAATACCTCTTTTGCGCAGTTATGTATTGCTACTATTTCTACATGGAATACTGTCGTATGTTTTGCTAAGCTCAGTGAGATTCTTATCTTTGGCTTGGTACTATATATTCTGCATGAATAAGAGGTCCTCCCTGTCTGGTATACTTACTTTATATTGCTTCTGAAAGCTGTAGTTTGGGAGTATTTCGTCTGAAGATATTCCCATTATTTAGTCGTTCTCCAACTCTTTATATAGCTTGCTGTATTCACGTCCATGCAAACTGCTTATGGGTGCAGTCTGTATATGACAGACCTGGATTTGCCTTGAATTAATATATGTAGTAGTGTTAGGTTTAGCATGACTTCTACAGTTGCTGTTTGAGTCGTTCTCCTAGCTCCTGTGGTACTCAGGCATCCCTGCCTTTGAATACCATTTGCCACCATGCCATCCTTACAGGATGTTGTGCTCTTTTGGATGACTTTTTGCAAGTGTTTATTCTATGTTAACCTGTGGTTAAAGATGACTCCCAAGTATTTGGCCTCTTGAGCAAATGGAATCTTCACTCCTTTCAGTACTATTAACTTTAGTTCTGTTAGTACTTTTCGTTTTGTAAAGTTGACTGTTGTAGTTTTGTGAGGGTTTATTGTTAGTTCCCCCTCTCTGCACCACTCCTCAACAATGTTTAGAGCAGTTTGTGGACGATAGTTAGAAACATTAGACTCCACTTTTAAAGATGGGAGTTATATAGCATATTTTCTATGTACTAGGAAAAATGCCAGTATCTACTCAAGGACTCGTTGAATATATGAAATAATGGCCTAGCAAGATTAAAACTAAAATTAAAAAAAAAATGGGTGGAAAAGAGAAGAATTGAGAATATCAAAAGTGCTATAAAAATATACTGATGCAAAATACTCAGCAAACAAGTTTACTATATCATTACCTGAACTTCCAACTATACTATTAAATTGTATTGAGCTTGGTATACCATTTTGCTTTCTTTTTAAGTTTACAAACGTCCAGAACTTTTTATTGTTAGTAAACAAGACATTTAGCCTTTTACAGAAAATTTTTGATAGTCAGCTGGGGATCGAGTAGTTTTGTAATGTTTGTGCGCAAGCTTTTAAGCTATGATACATTGCTTTAATTCAAAACAAAACCATATGGAGAATTTTTAGCATGTAATTTTTTTCGTTTGTACAAATATGTCAATTGCAATAAACAAAATTTTGTAAAAACTGGTAATCATATTATCCAAGGTTTTTTTTTAAATTAAGTGACCCCCAAGATATCTAATTAAGAAATTGATAAATACCTACACAGCGGATTTAAAATTAAAAATAAAATAAAGTCTAACAATTTAAATTAGTATAATTTCCTGATCTTAATAGAATTTTATATAAATAAAAAGTTCCTTTTTATGTTTTACAATTTAAGCACTAACAATTTAAAAACACTTATTTTTCATACTATAATTTTGAATAAATAAAAAAGACCGACTGTAACACCCGCTTATGAAATTTATTTTCTTCAGTTTTACCACTGGTATCTGAAGAAACATTCCTCTTAGTCTTTGTCTGTTCTTTGATAGCGACTTTACTTCATAACTGTAAAAAATATTTTCGGTAGAAAATGAAACGTTGTATTACATTATGGTTTCTATTATCGATTTCTATTCCTAGCTACTGTCAAATTGATTTAGATCTCGATCAAATTGTGTCAGAAATTGAAACCAGCAATTCTTCGATAGATCTCGAACCTAATATAACACGAAACACTGAATTTATAATTATAAATCCACCAAATTCTAATAATATTGTAACAAATTTAAATGAAAAAGTTTTCTCTTTAGATCCGGTTCCTTTAAATGGTACAAATGGTACTAGTTGTGAATTTGCGTGTGTACCGTTTTATCAGTGCAACAATGGGAGTTTGGTTACCACTGGAGAGAATATTTTTGATATTAGGTAAATATAACAACTGCTAGTATTTAATATTTATTGCATACTATGTTAAAATTATTATTTAAAAAGTTAAAAAATAAAAAATATATTGGATTTCAAAAATATATAAAATTATAAAAAAAAATATTAAAGAAAAGACTCTTTACATATTTAAACATAGCTATTTGTGTTTTAAGAGCGAACAGTAATACTTTGCCGCTTGAGGTAAAATGCAAACAATATTTTTTCTACGATCACAGTATTTTGAGAAATAGATATAAAAACTGAAAATATATCATAAGTAGTGTATAATATGATGCATATACAGGGTGTCCCAATAGTGTGTGGAAGTTCGATATATCCTATATTATAGAAAATATCAAACAATGTTATTTACAAAAGTTGTAGATAATATTAATCTGCACATTTCAAAATTATTTTCCATTATATAGAGTGATCTTTAGAATTGATCAAACCTATGTTTTTTTAAATGGACCACCCTAAATTTAATTGTAAATTTGAATTCCTTTGACTTTGCCCTTCAAGAAAATACCAACATGTATGAGGTTATACTGGGTATTTTGAAAGTTAAAACCAATTTTATATGAAAATCGTACTAGGTTCAACCCTCTGTATATTTCAAAAGAAACAATCGAACATCAAAATTTTTTGTTGAATCATTTTTAATGATAGTCTACTTTTATAAGTATATGCAAATTTTTTCCTAGTGCAACAGACGTGTACAGGGTGAGTCAAAACTCAGATACATGATTTTCTCAGTTTTTTAATTATACTTTCGTTTGAGTTAAATATTGCCTATTTTAAAAAGGGTTAATTATAACTAAATTCACAATGTAATTTGATTTAAACTCCTGTTAAAATATACTGTTTAATCAGTTTATATTTTTAAGGTTCATACCTACAATTTATTATCAACTGAATTTATTTTCTTTACTTTTAAGGTTAGGTTCATATCTCTACTAAAAGTACTTTAATTATACGTTCGTTTGTCCCTATCCCTAAACACAACAGTTTAGAAGATATTTTATATTTGAATGAAAAAAATATGAGCCACAAATAAGTTATTTTAATTTTTTTAGAATGCAACATTAGTATATTAAAAAATAAAAAAAAAGGTATTATAAAAGCTGCTCAAAGTGACTCCCTCCTTTAAACCCCTATTTTTATTTAGATTTTTTAAAAATCACATGGCTTCGTCCGCTTATAGAGCTTCATTTTTCTTAAAGTTTTCAAGTTGATATCATTTTTCGTTTTTGACTTCATCATCATCATGGGGAGAAAGAACATATCATTTAAAAAAGTTGTTTAAAATTTAATGAGAAGGATTTTGTTTCTTTGAAAGTAAACCTATAATACTCTTCAAAGTACTGTGTGAAAAGTATAATAAATAAAGTATTATAGTGTCTATCCTTCTCATTTATACCAATATTTTTATTACAAAAAATTCTAATATTAAAATAATATTAATCAACTCTAACAAAAATATTTCTTTTATAGGGTAAATGATGGTCCATGCGGTTCTGCCTTACTAACCTGCTGTCAACCAAAAGACAGAACTACCGATGATCGCATTTTATCCCCTTCTACCACATCTTCTATACCAAGAGGATGTGGACATCGAAATCCAGATGGCGTTGGTTTGACCATTACCGGAGCTAAAGACAATGAAGCACAATTTGCCGAATTTCCTTGGATGGTATCAATCTCAAGAGATCTTGATAATAATCAAAGACCTTCATGCGGTGGGGCTTTAATTCATCCCAGTGCTGTGATCACCGCTGCTCATTGTGTAGCTGCTGATAAAAATCAAAGGTGTGTTTAAATGTTGCTCTGATTTCTTCTAGAAATAATATTACTGGGGTATTTAAGTTAATTTTGATAAAAGAGTTATGGTAACTCTGCTACGCAAAAATGCTCTTTCAATTCAATTCTAACTATGATCTTCATAAGCTACGGCCTTAGTTGCAACTTCTTTGTCCTTTAAAAGATATATAAACCAAGAAAATATGGCTTACTATCTGATATTCTGGAGGTCTTTAAGGAATATTATCTACCTACATCTTTTGTTTATATCTAAGTTAAATATACTAAAATAATCCAGGATTGATACCACTTAAATTTAAATGTAAACATGTTAACGAAGCTTAAAGGTAAAATCTTTGTATTTTTAGATGGAAAGTCAGAGCAGGCGAATGGGATATAATAAAAACAATAGAACCAATTCCCCATCAAGAAGTCTTAGTAGAATCAATAACTATACACAAAGACTTCTATTCTGGAGCCCTCTTCAACGATATAGCATTCCTTTACTTAACCACCCCAGTGAAAATAGGCGATAATGTAAATACAATCTGCCTACCGCCCCAAAACTACCAACATAGACCAACTAGATGTTTTACCACAGGTTGGGGTAAAGATAAGTTCGGCCAAAAAGGACAGTACCACGTTATTTTAAAAAAAGTCGATATTCCATTTGTGCCTAGAGATATTTGCCAGGAAAATCTACGTAAAACCAGATTAGGTAGATTCTTCGAACTGCATTCTAGTTTCATGTGCGCTGGAGGTGAAATTGGGAAAGACGCTTGCAATGGGGATGGAGGCAGTCCATTAGTATGTCCTTTGGAGAAGGAAAAGTGGAGATATTACCATGCAGGTATTGTTGCTTGGGGTATTGGATGTGGAGATAGGAATGTTCCAGGAGTTTACGTCGATGTGGCTAAGTTTAGAGATTGGATAGATGAGCAAATGAAACTTCGTAATTTGGAGACAGTATCGTATGATCAAAATATTGGTTTGGAGCCCAGGTTTTAATATATTAAATTCGGTTTTTATATTGATGTGCTTTATATTCTTAATTTGTAATAAAACAATTACAAAAACATTAATATTATTGTATATATTTAAATATAGGATCATAAAATAGATATAACGGTATCTATGTAAACAGCTGTAACCGCTTTTTAATGTCCTAGATGCAATAAAAGACAATTATTTATAGCTACCATAAAAGCACAATAACGATACAAAACAAACCACAAATATTTAATGAAGATGGACAGTGTTTATTTATTTAAAATGGCAAATGGATAAATTAGCATTTCCGTTAATATTTAATCAGATACCTTTATTTGAAAGCTAAATATAAATTGATTTTAACGCTATGCATCCAGGATGTAGCTGTCATAAAGTGATGATGAATAATGGATTGGGAAATAAATTTGGGATGCATCTATATACGGAGTTTTATATATTATTTCTAATGGTGTATTTATATTTCAATAAATATTTAATAAATTTCAATTTCCAGGCATAACTATCTTAACTTTTTTTTAAATATGGTAATTCGAGGATAGATGGACAAGTTTTGAAACATATGTTGAATTTAACTGCCATTTATTTGTTAAATAAATCTTTATTGAATATTAAATAAGTTAAATATTTCAAAATAATTATAAAAATTAAAAATATATTTTTTAGTAATTAAAAATCAATAATTAAAACGTTAGATTTATTTTGAACCAAAATAGTTACTCTAAAATAAATTAAAAGTACTTACTATATAAAAATAAATTTGAAAAATGTACTTTTAAACACAAATACGTTGGATTATAATGAGCACAGATAAAAGATACTACAAGTTGAGCTGCATGCTGTAGAACGACACCAAGCTACCCTGTGATGTCTATTTAAATTTCTTCTATGTTTGAAGACAATATATTGATATAACGCCAGGTCGTTTTGGCTTTATTGCTGCGCATTAGCTGTTATGACATTAGTATGTCATTTTTCCCACTCCACCGTTATCTTCATTCGATTCGGACCAATACCAGCATTGCTTCTGCGCATTCTTCATTGTTGACATCACTTTTTCAGCTACTCCTTTTCGTCTCCAGATGCATCTCAAACGCTCCCTCCACTGAGCCTGCATTACTTTTTTATTTATTCGTCTACAAAACTCCAGATGGTTTTTCAACGTCTTTTTTAATAGATGACTCCTTGGGTATTATGCTTAGGTTAGATAGCTTAGTAACGAAGAGGCGGATATGTTTACTTTGTGGATTAGTCTACTGCGCATGCTGTGTTCATACAAACGTAAGTATCAAAATCATTAACAAAAACCATCACTCCCACAATTCTGAGATGAGATGATGCAACTGAAAAAAATATGTAGATTGTGCCCAAACAACATTTTATTTTGCATGACTATCTAACTTTTTAAAATATGTATAACTTGTTTTCGAAAATATTACATAATTGTTAAGTGACACAGAATTGACAAGGCCTATTTTTCTAAATTTCATCAACCACTTCCTGAACGAAATCTAAAAATAGTAGCAATTGTGGCGAATAAAGGCTAACGAAATAGATTTGACCCATGTCAGGTTTGGAAAGCAAAGAGGGATGTGAAATTAAACAATCATCAAATTCCGAAAGACGGAGAAATAATGAAATTCCTAACTACATGCCTTGACAGACATTTAAACTGGACAAAATAGCTATTTACGAAACGTAACAGCTTTTGAATTAGACAGAGCTACTTATAATCCATTTAAATTGTGTTTTTGTAAGGAAAGTTTTGGAGTAGTTTTGATTTCCTTCATTCTACATGTTTTTGGGGTGCTTAATTCGAATCTGAGATTTTCTAACAAAAATTCATGACGCAACATTGAAAAATAAAGTGTTAAAAGGTTTATTTTAAATTCTTGTAATCCAATTAATCCAACTTAATTTAAATTATTACTTAATGGATTTTTTAAATTTGATGGTTATAAATTGGTATATTCCAGATTTAATTTAGTTTATAAATTTTTAATTTTACTGAGATTACTGGGGTTTAGAATAGTTTTTAAATTGTTGTAATCCAAATTGTAATCAAATTGGGAATTTTAATTTAACTGAAATTATAAGAATTTTAGGATTGTTATTTAAATAAAAATTTAATTGAAATGGTAACTCCCAATTGAATTTAAATTATAAAGTTATAAGTTTAATAGTTATTTTTATATTGTTGCAATCCAAATTTAATTTGTATTGAAACATCTTTATTGAAATTATAATATAGATTTTTAAAATTGTTGGTTGTATATAAATTTATTTCATCCAAATTTTATTGAGGATTTTCAATTTAATTCAGATTATTGGTGGTTTAGAATGGTTGTTCTTAAATTGTTTTAATTTAAATTTAATTTAGGATAAACGGTTTTTTAAATTGTTTTATCTATATTTAATTTAGATTTAAATTTTTTATTTTAATTGGTATTATTGGGGTTTTAGAATGGTTTTATAAATGATTATTTGTAAATTTTAATTGTAATTGAAACATTTAAGTTAAATTTAGACTATAGAGGCTTAAATGGTTCTTTGAATGGTTCTTTGACTTGTTATTTTTAAATTGTTGCATTCCATATATTATTTAAATTGGGACATTTCACTTGAATGGTAATTATAAGATAAAAATTTATTTAAAGTGGGGATTGAATTAAATTTAAATTATAAAGTTGAATGGTTATTTTTAAATTGTTATGATCTAAATTTAATTTAAATACTTGAAACTATAACTTAAAGAATGTTTTTTTTTTTTAAATTGGATGGTAAATTATAAATTGAATTAATCCAAATTCAATTTTGATTGAGAATTTTTATTTTAATTGAGATTAATAGAGTTTTAGAATAGTTTTATAAGTTAAATGTTTATTTGTAAATGGTTATAATTCAAATTTAATTGAGATTATGGCATTTAAATTATATTTAGACTAAAGAAGTTTTGTAGGTGCTTTTTTAAATTGTTGCAACCTCGTCTTAATTGAAATTTTAACTTCATGGATATTTTTTTAAATCTGATGGTTGTTTATAAAATTATTTAAACCAAATTTACTTAAGATTGTGGATTTTTAATTTATTCAAGATTATTGAAAGCTTAAAATGGTTTTATAATTTAAATGGTTATTTTCAAATTGTTTTAATCCAAATTTTACTATTTAAATAAATATATCAAAGGATCATTTTTAGTACCTGCCTTGACTTAATCAATAACAATTTTACTATTATTTTAATTTCATTATATTTAATTAATTTAATAAGTAAGTTCTCTATTTTTCAGTAACTGCTTGAATTTATCAATCAGGTTTTATTGGTTTTTATTCTGTTTTCTCTTTTTATTCAATTCGTCGAACTCTATCTAATTAAAGTTAAAGAGGATGATGAAGATGACCGACTTTTGTTAAATAACTTTTACACTTTTATTTTATTCTCATAAATTTATTTACGTCATTAGAATAAAAACAAACCCATAATATTTTCCAACTGCACTGTATATCTGTATTTGTATGAACTATGATACAAATTTAATAAAATTAGGTTTTTCAAAACTAATTATTTTTATAAGCCTTAACGGAAGTAGTTAATGACGGATGTATTGACCCAAACGTTTAAATGACCAAATTAAAAATAGATACTCAGATTAAATGGTTATTAACTATCGATTATTCCTATATCAGTAGCGTTACTAACATTTGGATATGGGCCTAGAGTTCGTGCAATCTTTTAAAGTAGACTTGGGTTAGTGAAGCTGGAAGTAAAAGTAAGCAGTAATAACTGATATGGATACTGAAATGTCAAATAATAGAATGTTTGTTTGGGTTCTTCAAAACAGTTTAAAATTTTTGGCGATAAATAGGTAATTCAACTGTTCTACTGGATCTTGGACGGTTTGAATCAAATTTTAAAGAGACCCAAAAAACTCTTGTCTTCCCTTTGTCAATCATACTATATAAAAAACATTATATTTGGACAAACGTTGAAAAACAAACCTAAAGGGTTGAGTATGAAATAAACAGGTTAAATATAAGGCTAATTAAAAAAAAAATAGTAACAAATTTTGAAAATTAATTTTTTTTGTAAAGAGAATGCAAAATATTATTGTCTTAAAGTTGTTTCTTACCTGTAGCTTCATTATTGGTGCAATGTTTAAATTACCAACTTGAAGTTTTCTTACCTGGAAAAATGAAAAAACTAGGATAAATAATAATAATATTATAGGCAAAACATTTTAACTATTAGGGAGGTCTCAGTCAAAAATTAGCGTATATATCCTTAGACGAAAATACCTTTTCTCCATTTGATTTTTATATCAAACTACTAAAAACAATATTTAAAGCTAACAGCAATGAAAGAGGTTACTAATTTAAAAGATCAAATTGTGACTACCTATTAGCAAAAAAAGCATTACGAAAAAAATATATATTTTTTTAATAAATAATTAGCTGTTAGTCAAGAATTATATTTTGAGTGACATCTATCCCTCGGGCAAAGGGCCCTCTGATTTTATCATGTCATACTTCAGGAGTTAACATGAAGCTATGATACAAGCCTTTAAGTTGATGTGGCTGTAAATATTTTTTTATATTTTTAAATTTATATATTATCACTCTTAATTTTTGGCATATAAAAGTTATGTTTTCTCTCCATTTGAGACATGTATCCATGTATACCCCTAGCTATTTTATCCTGTTTTCAGGGAGAATGGTAAGTGTTTTCCCAGAAGCAGTTAAAGTTAATTTGTTAAATGGAGATATTGTTATAATATTTAGTGTCAGTAACTTACTGTCAAACCAGCTTTTCAGATTTGGGAGGTCCTGTTCAACTTTTTGCTTTAATTCTAACCATGAGCTAGCTTTATAAAATATTGAAGTGTCGTTTGCGAATCCCAAAACTTCCCCTTAACTCTCTATAGAAAATAATTCGTTTATAGAAAGATTAAATAAAATAGGACCGAGTACCGTATCTTGTGGGATACCGTAAGTTATGGATCCTAGATCACTGTAAACACCATCTACTCTTGTAAGTTGTTATCGGTTTGAAGGATATAACTTTCAAATAATTTGAGTGATGTGTCCCTTATACCTGCTTCTTCTAAGGTATCCAAAAGTAAACGGTGGCTGACAGTATCAAATGCTTTCGAGAGGTCTAGAGCAGTTAGTATTTTGGTAGATAGTGCTATAATAGCATTTTCTGTAGAGATATGTTTTTTAAAACCATATTGTTTATCAGATATTATACCATATTTTGATGTAAAATTTACTAATCTATTTTTAAGAACTATTTCAAAAATCTTTGATAAATGTGTTATTAATGAAATTGGTCTATAATTTTTTATATATAGGGACAACAATTGTCTGTTTAAATATATAAGGTCATACCAGTATCAAAAGTCAAGTTTATCAAATGATTTAGTAGTGTTACAATAAATTTAGATATATCTTTTAGTATTTCGGCCTTAATATTGTGAATAGTTTCAATTTCTCGTTTGGAAATTGGAAAAAGAACGAAAGAATTGCAGAGAATATTACGAGGTGCTCGATAGGTTGAATTTGGCTTAATATTTTCAGTCAGTTCTTTTCCACCATTTATATAGGTTTTTTAAAAAAATTTTCAGTTTCTTTGAATGCATTTATTGTTTCCCCTTTCGAGTTTTTTATTGAATTAATATATTTTTTGTTTCTCGATTGGGGTTAATTTCATTTATTACTTTCCAAAGTTGTTGGGGGTTACAGGAGTTGCTTTCAATATACAATATACAATACGTTTCTGGTCAGCTAATATCTCAATTATTTGATGAGATAAAATTTTTAAAACATAAATGGTAAGAAAAAATACTCCATCCATAACAAAAAAAATTTAAATTGCACCCCGACTAAATATAGGAAATTACTATACATGTTTTTACCACAATTTAACATTCATAAATTAACTTTATTTAAAAATCCATTACAGATATTTAATGTACCCGCCCATGTCATTAACTGATTTACAAGAATCCAAAACTCATTAAACCATCACAATTTTATTACCGCCATTTCTATAATAATGTGTATTGTGACTTATACAAAAACCTTATAACACTACTATAAAATGAAATCGAAAATAACAATATTAATAATAATACACATACTATTCGGAATAAGTGTTTGTGACAGCTTAAAGTTAGATGATGAACTCAATCAAATTCTATCTGAAATAGAAGCAAAAAGAGGTAATAATAATAATAATTTCTCAAAAAATGACAAAATAGCTCGAGTAATAGAAGACCCTCGACAATCTGATAGAAACGTTATTCACTTAAATGGTGGAAATTCTTTACAACCAATACCAGAAGGAACTTTAAGCAGTAACAACAATAAGGAACTATTTGAGCCACCTAAAATTACGGATTGTACAGACGAATGTGTTCCATTTTATCAGTGTAACAATGGAAGTATTGTAACCAGCGGAGAGAATTTAATTGATATGAGGTAAGTTGGAAACTTTATTAAATATACTGTTAACTCGTTTATTATAAATAGTAGAGACAAATAGGTTAAAACGTCGATTTTAGACTTATCGGAGTATTCGATAGTATTATCCTGTGAATCCCCTTCAAGTGATAGCCACGCCCTTATTTATCTGTTTAAAACCAAAGAGTGTCACGGTTTTGAAAAGGTGATTTTAAAAATTCGCTTTATAGTAGTTTAATTAGGAAGATTTTAGTCCAGTAGCCATATACATCAAACTGCGTTAGATCCAGATTCCTTTCTTTGGTTTTTCGTTTTGTTGTCAATTATAATTATGCCACACATTTTAAATCAGCCTAATTTGCTATAGTTTGAGCCTAGAAACGTCTCTGTATACCCAATAGTTTTCAAAATACAGGGTTTTAAGGTTTATCAATTTTTTCAAATTCAAAGTCCATGAAACCATTAATATTTCTACCTCTCTTTGGTTTTTGGTCTATTTTTCGATAATAATTATGCCACGTATTATAAAGTAGCTTAATTTGCTACAGTTTGGGCCTAAAAACGTTTCTGTATACCCAATAGTTTCCAAAATACAGAATTTAAAGATCTATCAATTTTTTTCGAATTCAAAGTGCAAGAAACCACTAATATTTCTACCTCTCTTTGGTTTTTAGTCTAGTTCTTGATTATAATTATACCACATATTTCAAAGTAGCTCAATTTGCTATAGTGTGAGCCTAAAAACGTCTCTGTGTACCCAATAGTTTCCAAAATACAGGGTTTTAAGGTTTATTATTTTTTTAGAATTCAAAGACCAAGAAACCACTAATATTTCTACCTTTCTTTGGCTTTTGATCTAGTTTTCTATTATAATTATACAACATATTTTAAAGTAGCTTAATTTGCTACAGTTTGAGCCTAGAAATGTCTCTGTATACCCAACAGTTTCCAAAATACAGGGTTTTAAAATTTATCAATTTTTTCGAATTTAAAGCCCAAGAAACCACTAATGTTTCTACCTTTCTTTGGTTTTTGATCTAGTTTTCGATTATAATTATGCCACATATTTTAAAGTATTTCAACCCTGTATTACTTCAGGATATACTATTACAATTGATGCTGAAGAGGGAACCTACAGATGAATCACTCCCTACATTTGTATATTTATCATTACTACACCCATTAAAAAAAATGCACGTATCTGATCTGATCTTTTAACAATTTTTTGATTATCTGAAGCATGGACTATCACTGTAATACATTTTTAAAATCAGCTTCTAATCGTCTTTCTAATGAGGTGTCACTTAAATTTAAAAATCGATCAATATGAATAAATTAATCGTAGCGAAACATATTTTTTCGGATATTTGCTCATAAAAATGAAGTTTAGGATCAAACTTTTCACTAAAAATTAGAATATATGTGCCTATATAAATCTGTTTTAAAATCAGCAACCCATGTTTTCTGTAACTCTGATATTGACTCTGTTTTTGGTAAAACATTATTAATTTGTATGTTTGCCAAGTTGGTGATTGATTATAGAAACGAGTTATAATACAATAATTGTGTATCATCTGCGTAGAGATGGTAATTACAGTGAAATAAATAGGCATGAATGTTTTCCTGTGGTACACCCTGAAAAATAATTTTCAAAAATTAAATTAGCTACGTTATTGCTAAAACCGACATACTGTAAATTTGAAACCAGTATTTGATGATTCAAATTGTCAAAGTAGCAAAAGAAATTAATCAAAATTAAAACTCAACGTTTTTTTCTATAGAATGGATACTATATCATCTGTAACTGCATTTAATGCTGTATAATGGCTATAACTGCTTCTAGAGCCAGATTAATTTGATAGTAATATCCTAGCAGTATCAGGAAGACTTCTTAATTTTTTCTTTACGTTAGAGAATGTAGGGAGGAAGTATACTAATACTTCTTAAGTGACTAAACTCTAATGGTTTTAACATATTTGGTAAGGGTATCACATAAGTATTTTACCAGTTACCAGAAAAGTAATAATGGTCTATAAAATTATTGAAAATATGGGCTAGTTAAGGTATAATTGTTGAGCTACATAGTACGCTGATTTGTATATTTGAATTGTCCAGTCTATAGGCTTTAGTTTTTTTAGTTTTAATATATTTAAAACTTCATCATCACTAGTACTATTAAAAGATAAATTTTTCCCCGATATTAGTGTAAGTATTATTGATATAGTTTCGTGAAAGTTTATTGTCTGGTATACAAAAGTATTCAGCTTCATTTAATAAAAACTATTGAATTTATTTGCCTTTTTGAAACACGTTCGGGATAAACAAATTATTATTGTTGGTTGGTATTTATATTGTAATTTAATGCCACCATTCATAAGCGGTACAGTTATTGAAGAAAATATCTGCAGACATTAAGTTGGCCAATTGTTTTTGAAGTTTTAATTCAATAATAATACTTAATTCAGCTCTTTTAACAAAATTAGGAACAGTCCCTTTTCATTATTGATTTCCCGTGGTAGCTGAAACTTAATTCTAATCGTATACTAATTACAGTCGTTTTAAAATTAACTTATATCCGTGTAGTGTTTCGTACTACATATTACTCTTCTCTCTGTCATAATTACGTTGATAGATAAATGTTATAACCTTAAACCAGTCATCTCCACTTTGTCATTTCGACGTTTTATTTTTGTTATGTGAATGGCACTTTAGAATGTTTCGTGGTGGCATGAGACTCAATCCTGTTTCCTGCCAATGTCATAGAACTTCAAAGTTGATGACATTGGAAGTCACATCTGTTTTTGATTTGTGGTGTAGTAGGTGGAAAAACAATGGAGTGTGTGGTGGACAGCTGTGGAAAAAAAAAGAAAGAACAGAACAGCAAGAGACAAGAAACTATCAACAAATTATTTTTATTTTTTCTATTTTTTCGAAGTTACGTGTTCTTGGCCTTTTAATTAAAGAATTTTAAAAGAGAATTTTTAATTATATAGTTATTTTGGTTACAGAGAATACCTATATAATATTGGTGACCCCGATATTGTAGTGTTTCGTACTACATATTACTCTTCTTTCTGTCATAATTACGTTGATAGATAAATGTTATAACCTTAAACCAGTCATCTACTCTTTGTCATTTCGACGTTTTATTTTTGTTATATGAATGGCACTTTAGAATGTTTCGTGGTGGGATGAGACTCAATCCTGTTTCCTGCCAATGTAATAGAACTTCAAAGTTGATGACATTGGAAGTCACATCTGTTTTTGATTTGTGGTGTAGTAGGTGGAAAAACAATGGAGTGTGTGGTGGACAGCTGTGGAAAAAAAAAGAAAGAACAGAACAGCAAGAGACAAGAAACTATCAACAAATTATTTTTATTTTTTCTATTTTTTCGAAGTTACGTGTTCTTGGCCTTTTAATTAAAGAATTTTAAAAGAGAATTTTTAATTATATAGTTATTTTGGTTACAAAGAATACCTATATAATATTGGTGACCCCGATATTGTAGTGTTTCGTACTACATATTACTCTTCTTTCTGTCATAATTACGTTGATAGATAAATGTTATAACCTTAAACCAGTCATCTCCACTTTGTCATTTCGACGTTTTATTTTTGTTATATGAATGGCACTTTAGAATGTTTCGTGGTGGCATGAGACTCAATCCTGTTTCCTGCCAATGTAATAGAACTTCAAAGTTGATGACATTGGAAGTCACATCTGTTTTTGATTTGTGGTGTAGTAGGTGGAAAAACAATGGAGTGTGTGGTGGACAGCTCTGGAAAAAAAAAGTAAGAACAGAACAGCAAGAGACAAGAAACTATCAACAAATTATTTTTATTTTTTCTATTTTTTCGAAGTTACGTGTTCTTGGCCTTTTAATAAAAGAATTTTAAAAGAGAATTTTTAATTATATAGTTATTTTGGTTACAGAGAATACCTATAATCCGTTACTAACTTTGTCCCTAATTTGACATTATCGGTTATCCAGCGTTGTTTCTTTTTATCATTTTAGTAACTGCATGTTTCTCAACTAATTCTCATTTTACATTTTTACCTTAAATAACAATTTTATCATTTTTTACAGACGAAATGACGGTCCATGCGGTAACGTATTCCTGACCTGTTGCAAACTCGAGCAAGTAACTTCCCAACGATTTTTCTCGAAGGAACGAAAGGTTCCTACCCCAAAAGGATGCGGGTACCGTCATCCAGATGGTATCGGTATTAAAATAACCGGAGCCGAAGAAGGTGAAGCTCAGTTTGCAGAATTTCCTTGGATGGTTTCGATAATTAAATACGGCGAATCAGAAGGGCCAAATCCAAGGCCATCTTGCGGGGCATCGTTAATTCATGCCAGAGCTGTTATAACGGCTGCACATTGCGTTTCAGATCTAAGACAAAGGTTTGTAGTCTAAAATAAAATATTCACTGCGGTTGCCCGGTCGTAGAATAAGCAATTCAGCACACAGCTGTGTCGTAAAAGGCGAACTTAATGTCTTTATTTTGTTGCTGCCTAGTATGGATTTAGGTAGTAATTTGTCTTTACTACAACTTTCTCACTTCTCTTAAGCTTTTTCTTTTCGTATTCCTTTCTAATTTATCTTTTTTCTTTCGACTAGGTACCATGTACGGATCAGGGTCTAGTCAGGTCTAATCATCTTCAAGTTTTCTGACCTAGTATGGATCTTAGGCCATTTCCCTTCATTCTACTCTTCTAATTTAATTGCACAAGTTCCTAAAACAAATATACTTAGGTCTCTTAGTTCATATCCTCATAAACCTAGTATAATATCCCTCCTCATCTTCCTTTATTAATATATAATTTTGGATTCTTATTCATAAGTTTAGTTCAACCTGGTTGACTCCAGAACCACTCTCGACTGACCACCCTGACGTATTCATTCCACTTACATTTTAAGACACTAATTAACTAATAAAAGTAATATCAAATATCTTAGAAGTTAAAAGACTTTTTTACATAAAAAACAAGAATATGTTTTGATATTGGTAATATAAAGTAAAATTAGTTGCCTTTACTCATTGGATTGAAGTCAAGATTCACGAAATTTACAGAATTATTGTTAACATAGAAAAAAAAAACAAATTGCAACTTTTTCTTTATTATATTTGTTACATTTTTAGATGGAAAGTGAGAGTAGGTGAATGGGACATCAACAGAACCATAGAACCAATTCCTCACCAAGAGGTTGACGTGGAAGACATCATAATTCATAGAGACTATTACCCAGGTGCTCTCTATTTTGATATCGCCTTTCTCTACCTTAAATCTTCGATAGAAATGGCTGAAAATGCCGCACCCATTTGTATATCACCCCAAAATTACAAACATAGACCGAACAGATGTTTCGTGACTGGTTGGGGTAAGGACAGGTATGGAAGAGAGGGTCGGTATCATATTATTATGAAGAAAGTTGATGTTCCCATTGTTTCTAGAGTGGTAAGAATGGATAATTATATACATAATTTGGTATCAGTTATAAGTACATGCAGCATACATTTGTATACCGATGATACCCAACTTTACTACTTTGACTCTTCTAAAATTAAAGCTTAAGACAAAATATTCAGTCATCTCTTAATAGTATATTAATGATAGTAGTTGTTGGTTATACTTTGGTGATAATGGTCCTTTAGTCCATCTAGTTGTTATATTTGTAACAGGCGGTGTTCTGTTCTATAAACTGTTGTTACATATCATACACTCTTGGTACTATTCCTATTATAAATATTCTAATTAACTTTTAATTTTTTCATCTTCAGCGATGCCAAGCAAATTTACGAGAAACCAGGCTAGGTATATTCTTCCAACTACACCCTAGTTTCATGTGTGCAGGTGGAGAGAAAGGCAAAGATGCTTGTAACGGGGATGGTGGTGGTCCATTGGTATGTCCAATTGATCATGAAGGATCCAGATATTACCAGGCTGGAATCGTTTCTTGGGGTATTGGCTGCGGTATTGAAAACGTTCCAGGAGTATATGTCGACGTTGCTACGTTCAGAAACTGGATAGACGCTTTAATGAGAAGATTTAATTTGGATTCAGAGTCATATGTCGTGAGCGATGTAAGCCAGTATTATAATAAATAGAATTAGAGTTTTTTAAATATAATTAAATAAATTTTGTAACTAAATTGTTTTTTCTTTTCGTTAACTTTTTCTTGCAGATTTTGTATGCAAGATTACAGAAATTTTAAAGCTTTTTGTAACTATTTTCTCACTAGATTTTATAACTTTTTAAAATCGTAACTTTTGTTGTATGTTGGTAACATTGATGTATGAGCTTATTGTTAGCTGGTTTTTAAATGGTTCTTATATTATCTCATTTATAATTATGAAACATTTGTTAATACTGATTTCAAGTTGTCAAAAATAGAATCAGTAAATTAGATTCCTGCCTTTTGGTTGTCCATTACCGCTTAGCTACAGTCTTTTCAAATTGGTGACTTAGATGTGATCTTTTTTCTAGCGATTAAAACACAGTACATACCTCCTCTCTTTCTAAGGAATTCCGGAAACAAGATTAGCCCAGATATCACTCAAGCGCTAGCAGACACCACACACACCACCCCATATTCTAAACAAAAGACGCTTAAATGTCAACCAAGCATTAGTAAAAAATTCCAAGCTTACATTTTGTCATTTGGATCTCCCGTTCATTAGTTTGTAAGAAACAACCCTCTTTTTTAAAATAGTAAATATTATTTTCTGGCCCATACATCTAAACAGGCTTCGACATCTTAATTGTCACCTTTTTGGACTCAATGTTCAAAGGCTTGGTTTATGCAAGTAAATATGTTATTTAAATTAGGCAATAATCAACGGGATAATTTAATTATCAGACAAATAAGCAAAGAAAAAAGTTTAAAAAGCTTTTTTTCCTGAATCGTAAGCCATCGATATTTCTTCAAACAATGGAAATTTTAGTTGGGTCTTCTTCTGTGGTTGACAAGCAACTTTTAAAGCTATCACAATTTATAAGAGTTGGACGTGCAGCCTCAGATAAAAATGATATACAAGAGTTAGCGGATTTGGCTGATAAAATATGGAATATTACTCCTAATTCTCATGTAAATTCGGCTAGCTTGGTGCAAGAGGATGCAATAACAAAAATTACAGAATCTATGGATAAACTAGATAAAGAATTTCGAATGATGAAAATCAGATAATTTAATAATTACAAGTTATACTAGCTGTAGATCCCCTTCTTCTAGGTCTTCTTCTAAGTCATCTTCTAGGTCTTCTTCTAGGTCTTCTTCTAGGTCTTCTTCTAGGTCTTCTTCTAGGTCTTCTTCTAGGTCTTCTTCTAGGTCTTCTTCTAGGTCTTCTTCTGGTTTTCTTCTAGATATTCCTGTAGTTCTTCTTCTAGGTCTACTTCTGGTATTCTTCTAGATCTCTGTCGTTCTTTTTCTACGTTTTCTTCTAGGTCTTCTTCTAGGTTTTCTTCCAGATCTTACTTTAGCTCTCCCCCTAGGCCAAGTGGATTTAACAGGAATTCTTAAAAATACTTCTTCAGAGTTCCGTTTATGCTAATATCATGAGTCTCAAGTAGATATGAGGCTAAACGTGAGACGCATCTTAGGGATCTACTCGTATTTTAACGGTTTTACAATTATCGTTTAATAAATATGCCTTCAAAATGTGTATTTGATATTAATTCTTTAAAGTTTTAAAGAATTCTTTCCTCTAAAGGCCATGTTAAAGGTATCGTAGAAATGAAAAATATATTCTAACCATTGTAGACAGTTTGTAGGTCCCTGACCAGAGGTGTTCCCTCTTAAGCCCACTACCACTAGTAAGATTGCAAAAATCTTTATTGATGATTTATATTCCATGTTTTGGTATCTCTTTAAGTATTACTACTAACCTAAAAACCCAATTAACTTTAAAGTTTGTTGATAGATAAGATGTGTAGGAGTAGTAAAAAAGAGGGTCCAGTACACTTCTTTGGGGAACTCCAGCATTAAAAGTGTGGAACGTCGAGTAATCGTTATGGTGTTTAACAAAAAATTGATGGTTTTGGACTAAGGAATGAACAAAAAAAATAAAGAGTAGGATAGAAATGTTGTGGTTTTGCGTTTTTTAATAGAATTTAGAGATTTATGCATTTTAGATATTGAATTATTAATATTGTTTGTATTTCAACAGTTGATTTAAGAAGCAGAGGTAAATACTTTGCTACTTAATCCATATTGAAATAAAAAACACAGCTAAGTTATAAGCAGTTCAATCTTTTCAACAGGTTCTGTTGCTGTTTCTTCTAACGAAGAAAAACTATTATCCGAAACCACAGGTTATACGCTCATGTACATTGCAGTATATCTTGCTAAAAAGAATAAAGATAATCATTCTTAAATAGGAAAATCACATAATAAATATTCTAATGCTCAGAGTCACCATCTATGGTACAATATTTTTTTAAATTGACTACATTTATTAAAACCCAACTTTCATTTGATTTTTTGTCAAGAATTAAAACAACAATTGTAATATAAATATTATTATTTGTTTAAAAAATACAAACAATTTAAAAAACTACATAATTTCTAATAATATTATATAAATTGCATACATGTAGACAAAAACATTCTTTTTTCATATTTAGTTCACAGTTTAAATTTTAAAATTGAATGTATTGTTTATTATAAAATGAATAATTTTTTCTTTATACATAAATCAACAAATTTGTGGAACTCTGTTTTTTTAAAAACGGTTGTGTATTTTAAACCTTTAATATATATAAAATAAATAACTGGATGTCTAAAATGTAAAAAATAAATAAATTTTAAAAATTTAAAAATGATTTTAGTCAATTTGTGAGAAAGTTTCAGTTTAAGTACTTTATAATAATAAAATGAGAGAGAAAAAAATGTATACCTAATACCGAAAGAGTGTGATAGAAGCAGATAATGAATTTGATCTCTTTAAATTCTACGCTACTGGTGGAAAGATTTTAGAATTATTTTTAATTCGTCGTAGATATATATTTTTCATTATAGACATAAAAAGGATGATATCCTTTTTTACAATAATAAATTTTTTGTTACATTTTTATCTCTTCAGTAAAAAAGAATTTTATAAAAAATTTTCATATTTTAAGTTATTCTTCCATGAATAATCTCTACATTTATTGGAACGTAAACCTAACCTTAAAAAGCTTATACGTATTTTAGGATCTAATATAAGTAGCTAAGCAATGACCAATTATAAATTTTGTTTATATTTTAAAAATTATAATAATATTAATTCCAAGATTGTTATCATAGTAAATAATTAAGCCAAAAAAATAATGTTTAAATAAATAACTATAGTTCCTTTAGTGGCTATCTCCATATTATTTAAAAGAAATATTTTGAAACAGTATCGAAAAAATTTGTTAATTCATTCTTAAAAGATCAATTATTTTCTATACGCTGTATATAAAAATATATATTATTCTTCCTTTCGTCTTCTTCACCGTCTCCATACTATTTGCTCAATCCATGGCACGTAATTTGATACTTTGGTGTACACTCCCGGTATAAACGGTGTACCACAACCAATTCCGAACGATGTTACTCCCACCAAATACATTCTACCATCTTCTTGCACCTGAAGCGGACCTCCAGAGTCACCCTATAAAAATCAAAAACTGAATTAAAATTCCTTCATATTTAATACACCGAAGAGTTGTAAATATCTTCACGTATTAACACTGTATAAGTTACTTTAAATAGATACACCTTTAGTTAAAATTAGAATTAAAAAAAATATTTTTATATGATTCTTATTTCTGACTACACATCTTTTGATTAAAACTAGATTTAGTAAAGTCTTGGCTAAATGTCATTATTAACATCATCAGCTATTGAATCTTTTATTTTATGACAGTATATCTTGAATAACATAATTCTGAGTGAAAACGTTAAACTTAAACGATTTTGTTCCGGAGAGTAAATTAAATTACCTGACATGTATCCTTGCTCCCATCATTAGTACCAGCGCAAATTTGTGTCGACTCCATAATACCATAAGCCAGTTCATCTTTAGGAACTATACTGTAAGCTTGTTGACAAACATTAATAGGAACATAATTTAAACGTACTTTCTGCAAATCTTTAGCAGCATCTCCATTTTCGCTAGTTTTACCCCATCCAGTAGCAATCAGATTCGCTCCAGCTAAATTTGTGGAGGTATACAGACATATTGGAGCTATATATTCGGTGAAAACTACTGGTCTGTCTAATTCTAAGAGTGCTATATCGTTATATTGTTTTCCGTCTACATAATTTGGATTAGCGATTCGTCTGACAACGTTGTAATCTTCGGAATTTAAGGTTTCTGTTTGTAAAGTTGTTGTTCCTAGTCTCACGAATGTTACAGGACCTCTAAAATCGTAATATTTATTAATATTTGTCTAAATGATTTAATACAGTATACTTACAGAGTTTTTTCAAATAGGCAATGAGCTGCAGTTACAACATAGAGTTCACTAATTAAGCTTCCTCCACAGAGCCAATTATTGTTGTTATCATTTTTAATTCCATAACCCAAAGCTGCCTACAATATTGAATAAAAATAAGTATATTTATTTACAAAAACAGTAACCTTCAGAAGAATTGAGAACCTCCTCCTTTTTGAAGTGGGTTAATAAAAAACAAAAAAAAGGCTCTCTACACCGGTAGAAAACAATCAAGTGCAAAGATGTTTCTACGGGAAAAGCCGCTACAAGTAACTGAATTGACGCCAGCTTTGTGAAAGCTAGTTAAAAAGTATGACCACCTGAGAGCCAAAGAAATAGGAAAGATAAAATACTTTATCAATACCAATACCAATGGTAACATTTTCGAAACAGAAAAATCTACGAGGCATACCAATCTTGTCCAGCATAGAATGTATACAGGCGATGCAAGGCCAACAAAGCAACCATCTAGAAGACTCCCATTTTCTAAACAAAATGAAGTAGCATGTGATACAGGACATGATAGATGCAAATATTATTGAGGAAGTTTCTGGTCTCTGGTACTTACCTGTGGTCGACTATAGAAGATTAAATAAGGTAAGACAAAAAAGGCAGCTACTCATTTTTCTGAATAGACGACACACTAAACACTCTATCAGGTGCAAAATGATTTTCTCCTCTAGACCTAAAAAACGGATACTGGCAAGTATCACCCTGACAATGGAGACAAAACAGTTCATTATATCGATTCTAGGTTTTCTCGTTTGGTCTTTGTTATGTAACACCCCAGCTACCTTTGAACGACTATTGAAAATGGTTTTCAAAGAAATTATCTGGAAGACCTGTCTAGTACACCTCGATAACATAATGATCATGTTAAAAACCTTCGACTAGTTTTGACCCATGGTTTTGACGAACATCTAATAAATTTGAGAGGAGTATTTAAAAGATTAAGAAATTCCAATCTAAAGCCTAATCATAATAATTGTTCACTGTTCCATTTGGAAGCCTATTATTCTGGAAAAAATGCCGCTATAAGAATGTGTTGGAGGAGCTTCATAGCTGACGGTTAAAGGGGATATAAAAGAACACTGAGATAGTCTAGTTCCTCTATTTCTGCTGGTATATTGAAGTTCTGAACATGAATTGACCAGTTATTCTATCTATAATGATTACTGGAAAGCAGGTGAAGCTTTTTAGCGTCTTCTTGTTGAAAGAGAGCCTTCTGATGAAGATTAGAAAAGATCTACGGATTCGCTCGGGAACCTTTGAAAGCCAACAGCGATAAGACACAAGATAAAATTGACATACATGCCACAGGGATACATTTTACCAAAAACCAGCCTAACAATACTTTCAAAACTTACCATATGGGGAAATTCTTTCTGACTGGAACTTTGTCCTCCAATGATGAAAACTTGAACTTGAGACTTTCTTGCAGATCTTCTACCAGCACTATAATACTCAATACATTCTAAAAATTACTCTTATACAATACTTGCCAATAATGATAAACAATTTGTAGATACTTACTTTCCTGAGATATCCTATTTTGCATCACAGTAGTGGTAGAGAGAGGGACAGGACCAGGACCTGTATTAAGATTAGGATCAGAAATATCGAGTTTGGAAGATGATACTACATTATTTGAAGCAGCAGCATAAATTTCTACAATATCTGAATCGTTATTATTAATTGGAGATATGCTAACGATGTAGTTGGGCATCTGTGTTATGTTAACATCAAGTTTGACTACAGTCGGAATCTCTACTTGAAAATTACTAGGAAAGACATTCATGGGCATACTTAGTACTGGTACTACTGACTTTGATGGAATAGAAGTTGGTAATACATTTTGCATCATCATGGTAGGTAGTAAAATAGGAATGGGTCTGGACGTAAAGGGAGTAGAAGTAGTAGTAACAGTAGAATTACTACTTATTTCAATACTCACAGGAGCTTGCTTAGTAATAGTAAGCACAGATGGAGTAGTGTTAGTTATTAATGCACTAGTAGAATTAGTGGCTACTGCACTCGATATAGTTGTAGAAACTGTAGATGTTGATAAACTTGAAGTCGGTATTGATGTTGGAATAGCTGTTGTATTTGAAGAAGTAGTAGTAACTGAAGGTACACTACTAGGTATTGTACTGGAATAACTAATAAGATATTTTGGATCAAAATAAGTAATTAACGGTTCTACCCCTTCTGTATTCTGCTTAGGCGCAAGATTTTTAATTATATTAGGATTATCTATAGAATGATTAATCATCATAGCTGGATTGATAACAGTTACTGTAGGTCCTACTTCTTGTTTAGGTACGGGACTTTTTATTATATTAGGATTATCTATCGAATGGTTTACCATCATTAATGGATTAATGAGAGTTACTAGTGGAGCTAATGGTGTTACTACATTACTGTGGACAACCTCTACTGGTGCAGGTGAAGAAATAATCGTGTTTACTCTACCAATTGTTGCTGGAGGAATCCTTGTAGCTGAAGTACTAGTAGCTTGAGGGGCTGGTGGTGAGTTGGTAACTGGAGAAACTTGAGCGATTGTTGATATGAATCCGAATTGGTTGTCGGTAAAAAACGGAACAGGCCATGACATGTAGTTCGAAGGATTTGAAGAGTCTGGGAAATTGCTGCTGCCTACTGGTGTTACAATTGAATTTTCTAAAATATAATTAATAGAAGATATTATTTATTTTATAAATAATAAATGTATTGTGAGTAAACACCTTACACCTTCTAAATTAAAACAACTGGGATCTGTGGAAAATATATTTCGTACTGGCGTCGACTAACCGAGTGAGAAAAGTTCATTATTAAATTATTATACTTTCAAAATTGCAATATTCGCATAATGGATGCAGCTAATTTTATATAACAGGTCTAGTTAGAAACTTAACGGCTATAAATTTAATTTACTGTTACCAGTATTAGGAGTAAGTTAATATTTTTCACTTAAAGTTCCGTTTAATTTAGCACGGAAACAAATAGAATAGTTTACTTAATTAAAACTGGAGTTTGCGAATCTGAAATTAAAAATAGTAACATGGTTATGTCGGAATTCCAGTTCAGAAACTAATTAGCTTTTATTTGAAATTGAAAGATATTAATAAAGGCTGACAAGAGTAATAAATTGTCTAAGTGTAAAATTTCCTCATTACACCGTCTCGCCAAGAAAGGAATTAGTGAATTTGGGTCTATAGATAAGGCGTCAGCGTCTGAAGCTAGGAGTGATGCATTCAAATTCCTATAAAAACCTTTTTTGTTAGTTTTTTTTTTAATTATACATACCTATGTTTAATAATATGAATTATATTAATAGAAGCATAGAAGCGTAGAAAGGGATAAACAGAGGACCGCGTGAACTAAGTGAGTAGCAGAAGAAATAATCAAGGCATTTGAATAGGGAGATTGAAATTGTTTTTGTTTTTGGAAAAGTTAGGGTTACCCCAAATAGTGCCTATTATAGAAGACTGGTTAGAAGTTGGTGAACCAGATTTTATTGAAAACGTGCACTATAATTAGCAGATTTAACAGAATAAGTACATGGTGCTCTAATTTTATTCTTAAACGATGATTTATCCGTTGTATCTAAATACGATTTTTTACTAGTAAGAAAATGTCTTCGAATTCTCCATAGTAAATAAGATACTTCTGGGGTGAATGTTACCAGAAAAGATCGGAAGCCTGCATCTGCCTGAGCAAGAACAGGCTACGTATTGTAATAGGGATTCTTACTGGGCGTTTCCGACATAAAGACACCTTTGTAAACTAAGAGTAGTAGAAGATAGTAAGTGCAGATACTATGGAAAATGAAGACAATATAAGAAGCATATTTGCTTTGATGATAATGGAAATGACGAAACCTTTATTAAGATTCTGACTAAATGTGTACCACTCCAGAATCCAAGAGCACTATACCTAGGAGCCTAGCGAATAGAAGAAGGAGATTAACCTAACTTGAAGCCACTTCAAATCCTACACTTCCAATATAAGCAGCATATTTTCTTTAAGGATAATGGAAATGAAGAAAAACAATAATGATGTAGAAAATTGATAATATAGATGAAAACAGTAGGAAAATTGATAAATTAGAGGAAAACAGAAAGGAAAATAAAAAAGAAATGATTGATTTAATTGGAAATTAGATACAAATATGATAAACAAAAAAAAAAAAAATAAGAAGAAAAACCAAATGATAAAATATTTAATGAAGAAACAAAGAAAATGAAAGAATAAAGATATAAGTTAACTAAAAAAAAAATGTAGTAAATTTAGACTTGAATAAACAAGAAGTAAATATGAAAATTTAAATTTAAAATGTAGAAGAATGAATAGAAATTGAAGAAAGAAAAAGTATTAAACAATACGGATGAGTAAATAATAATAATAATAATAAATTGTTTATTACAAAATACAGTTACAAAATTACAAAGAAAGAAAATAGATTAAATTTATGAACTCAAGTAAGAAACAAGGTTATCCATTTAGGCCCATCAGGCCTGTCTATGGTATAGCCGTTTATTAAAATAATTTTTATAATTTAATTTTAGCAATAATATTTCTTTACACATGTAAATAATAAAAAAAAAGAGTAGTGTTGAAAAACATATTAAAAGGTAACTACATAGCAAGTAAGTCATTCAAATATATAATAAAAATCTGATGTGTCCAACACATGACTTTCCTATCTAGTTATTATAAGCTTTTTCCGGTTATTTTGTTCAACCTATTGCAGCATCTTTATAAATGTTTAGAGGATAAACTAAATATATACATTGTCCACATACATCTACCTCGAAATATTTTTCTATAGATATTCATTGAAAACGAAAATACTGAAAAATTTAAATTTCCTACAATTTTTTCATTACGGCCCATTTTAGAAAAATCATGTCAAAACAAAAATTATAGAGATCGATATCGCAAACAACTTTTAGTTCTTATTCCAGTAAGTGATTCATCAATTTTAACACGCTGAAATCTGTTCATTAAAAAATTTCTAAAAAGTGTACCACTGATACCAAGATGTTTCATTTTGTCAATTAATAATTTGTGACTTACTGTGTCAAAAGCTTTTTGTAGATCTATAAATACACCCATGCACTGTTGACGTAGGCACAAAACTTTTGTTAGGGTTATTAGATATATCATTCTCTGCTTTTAAAAGATAATTTTCATGTGCTGTTTTAATCGCAATTTTAACTTCAGCTCTTATGCACTTAAATTTTCCGAGAGCCCCGATATCATTGTCTTTTTTATATTGACGCCAAAATTTTGATTTTTCTCTTATTTTTTTAATAATACTGGGATTAAATTAAGGAGGATATGTTTTTTTATTATGCACTGAATAATTGGGTACGCAACGATCTAACACATTATACAACTTGCCATAAAAATATGTACAGGCATCATCGGCACTATAAAAGCTTTCAAAAAAAGCCCAGTCAATATTTGATATCATATTATATTGATCTATAGAATAATGGTGAGCACACTTATAAAACAGTTTTATAAATTCGTCTTTAAAATATTTTTAAAACTAAATAGTAAGACATGTTTGTATATATTTAATATGTTATCTGAGACTGCAATAAATAAAATATTCATTCATGAAATTCTAGTAATGATTTATAATGGTTTGTAACAAGAATCATAGCAAACCTTGATTAGACGTCTTTATAAGAGTTCAGAAAGGGTCCTGAGAAGATTGATAAGTTTAAAGAGACGTCTATTATGAAATTGTTTTAATATTATCTTATAACAGTAACAATATAAAAAATTCGTTAGAAACGATACTAGATCTTGTCATTGTTACTGAGAATCTCACTTCGTTCAACACAGGTCGTGATTATTCACCTCTTATTGGTAAAGAAGACGCATCCAACCCGTTCTTAAGGATAACACCGTATAATTTCATGTATAATTTCAAAAATCGTTTTTCCCTGATCTCTAAAATGCCCTGTCATTTTTAGTTTTTATTATAATAAAACATTTTTCTATTTAAGACAATAATATCTTTTCAGAGACTGCAATAATTAAAACATTCATTCCACAACTGCCAGTAATGATTTATAATGGTTTGAAATAACAATTCTAATGAACGTTCAGAGTTCAAAAAGAGTATTGAAAATATTGTGAAGTTTTAAAAGAAGTTTATTATAAAATTGTTTCAATATTATCTTATAGCTGTTGTGAAAGGCTCTAATGAAAAATCTTTTTATACCTAAATAATAAGACACTTTTGTATTTAAGACAATAATATTTTTTCTGTAATTGCAATAAACTGTTATAACTACCATGTATAACGTTTTAATATTATCAATCACTAAATATTATGTTAGTTGGATAGATACCTACACTAATATAAGATTGAGAAAATAAAATAAACCCACTTACTTCTCCGAAGTTGTATAGTATAAGAAGTATCAATTATTATTAAAAAAGCAATAAAAAAACTAAAAACCACACTCATACTCATGCCGTGTTTACAAGAATAACTGGAAAAACATTTAATAATTTAAGGCTGTTAACAGCTACAGGAAGGGATGCGACAATTATTTTAAATACATAAAACGGAAGCATATATTTCCAACTAAAAGTTAATTTGATTATAATTTTTTCATATGTATATAATATTCAATTTATGAACTATTTTAATAAAAAGATTTAGCAATCGACCTCGATGTTAATATGTGTTTATTGTGTGAAAATTGTTTGGGATTTACCAAGTTGTCACATACATAGCTATTCCGAAAGGTGGAATAAACGCTTTGTTATTATGTTTTAGCTACTGTACAGGGTGTTGAGCATAACGATTTAAAAAGGTTGATTATAAAGACTGGATTGGGATCTAAAATAAAGATCGCAGCGCCGTCTGTAATTGACATTTATACTAAATGTAGTGGCTTGTTATTATTAACATTTTGGAATTTGTAAACATATCCCATAAACAGTATTTTGTTTATATTTTGCTTCAGTTTTCTTTGGTGGCCTATCTTCCTACGGCTGTTTGAATTTAATAAAGCGTAGTGGCTACACACACAGGGGTACATCAAATTTATGTACCTTAAAAGCTGTGACCCTAACATGTTTACAGACTTTGTTGAACAGAGATATGTAACTAGCTCCAATGGTAACTACAATTACACGTCCAATAAGGTCTCTATAGTGACTAATTTAACCATTTCCTTCATTTGCTACAAGAAGTGCTTCAGTGGTTTCATGTCCCAGTATCATGTCTTAGAACATCATTAATTAACCATCCATCAATATCCTAACTTAAGTTTTTGTACATTGAAGTTCACTGAAGCTTTTAAGTTTTTTTTACTGGATCTTCGACGTTATCTACCTTGCCAAGGTCACTACACTATTAGGATGACTTTCTATTGACTAGGTTTTCCAGTAACTGGAATCATTGAGTATCTTCCTTAATAATGTGAGTTATTTAATTCTAATTTATTTATAGTTTATTTATTTAAAACACACTATTTACAATTTATTTATGACGTACTATTTAATTTGTATAATACTTAGACACTAACAGTTCTAATTTATTTATTACACTTTAACTTTTCATAACAATGCTCTATACTGAACTGTCCATAATCAACTGACTGCCGTCTTCAAACTCACGATATTTATATCAAGCCAACTCTGTAACCAT